ATTTAAAATCGACGATTGAAAGTGGTTGCGTAGGCGAAGTTGGACATGAAGTGGTGTGCGTCGACTTGGACACGGGCGTGGTCGTGCAGGGCGAGTTGCCCGTGGATTTGCCGTCTCCAGTGTGGAAGACGTTGCATGCGTATGTGGAAATATATGGCAAATATATATATATATAAGCTTGTGCATATATATATATATATATATGTACAAGCTTCCCCATTGTTGTGTTGCGGTTGTTGACAAGAGAATCACCGAGATATACTATTTTGGTCATCTTTAAATATATATATATATTTGATATATTCTGTATTTTGGCAGGACGTTGCGGCAATGCGTCAAGCTGCACGTAACCAAGAGCGACCACGTGTTTAGCCACTCGTTTGAGCGGCAGCCGCGCGAGTTTCCCCAGCGTCGCGTCCGTCTGGCCTTTCACGACGCCGTCCTTGCGGTCATTGGTATATATATATATATATATTATTGAAAAAGATATAGTTGCCTCGATAAAAGCATATTTGATGGACTCACGATATATATATTCATATATTGCGTAGGAAGTGAGGACGTTGCAACCAGCAAGGGGGGCGTAGAAGACGTCCACTTCGGTCGGTTTCGCTACTTGTGGGACGACCAGTACCAGGACAAGATGGTATTTTTCGACGAAGCAGGGTACTTGGCGTCGTCGCCCGTGGTCATGCGGCCGTTCCGAACGTGTTTGATTGCCACACAGGCATTTTCCGAGTACATCGTCGACCACAACGGGTTCACGGACGACGAAGCTTCCAACTAGGACATAAGTCCTGATATTGCGTCACAATTAGGATCTATATCCTGATACCGCGTCATAACTATCCTATTTAAGACCACCGTCGCATTGTTCATTGTGGGTTGCATAGGACATAAAGTTTACTAGTACAGGAGTCCCTATATACTGTATGTAGGTTCCCGAGCCTGGAAAAGCTAGCATCGCATGTAACATAAAGTCGTACTGGTGTCGTATTTTTTTTTGCTATACACTAAAATTCGCAAGGTGTTCTATTCACACTGGAGCTTCTGATTGGCTGAATATACTTGTCTATTCGGTAAGAGCCAATCAGATCCGTTGAAAACGTGGATTAGCCGCCAATACCGTCGATTCGTGATTCGAGAGGGTGTGGAAATTTCACTCGAAAGCACAATAATAACTCAATCTCCAACTTTGAACCACTTCATCAAGAAACCAGTGATATTTGGCTATAACTGGGTTCATTTTGCAGGCTATTGCTCTTGATTTTGCTTGATAATTGGTGCTACTTGACGCCATTGGCAGCAATCGTGTGCATGTCAGACATGTTGAGCACGGGAATCGGTTTCAGTTGAATGTCCCATGGGAAGTCACGAAAGCGCTGGCAACTGACCGGCGTTTTTGGCTGGACCTATTCAAGGGTTACTACTATATATAAATATATATATATATATTCTCGATGATAGTATACCGTGGTCGTGGGATAGCTGAAGATCGTGTGCGGGGGGGATTTAGGGGTGTAGAAAGCCACGAGAACCTCCAAGTCCTTGACGCGGTCGACTGCTCGTTGGTACTTGGCTCGGATGCAAAACAACTCCTACGATCGTTCAAAATACGACTGTTTATGCCAAAAATAAGTAAATAATATATATATATATATATATATTCAAGATCATGATAATCCGAATGCAAATACTATTGTGAAAGCAATGAATATATTACCGCGGCATCGCGTGTCCGCAGGGCTTGTTGGAGCTTGTCAACTTTTTTTACTTCCAACTCGTACAAGGCGTTGACTCGGTCCAGCTCCTAGACATCCCCCCCACATACAACTTAGCATATAAACCAATTCTTCCGTCCCTACTACTTTGCTCCTCCAGTAAATTTGGTTTTGCACTTACATCAGCCAAATCCCCCTACACAATATCCCATGAGGCTCGTGTTGTCATCTCTTGCATGTTGGTATTTGATATACAGATGGCGCTCTTACCGCGGTGGTGGCCCTGGCACTTTCGACTTCTTGCTCGACATGGGCAGACAATTCATGGAAGAGAGAGCCTCGCTGGAGCAGCGTCCGCCGATACGTCTCACTCGCCGATCGCTTTTTCAACGGAGATGAGGCAGTCGTCATCTGTAGCTGATTCGACAGCTCCTGGTAATTCACAAATATATACATCAATATATACTGCAATGAATTTGCTACACATTTCTCCCGCTCCTTCTCCGCGAGTCGTCGCAAACCCGATCACAAATGTCACCCCGATATTTTTCATAGGCTTTTTTGCACAGAAACAGCTCAAAGTCAAAAGAAATATAGCCAATCACCGATAAGGAAGTCACACCGATGGGTTTGGTCGATTGAATGGAGTCCGGATATATTCTTCGGACCAAATCAAGAAGAATACTAGTGCGAAGTATTGTCGATTTGATACAAATTTGGGGAGGGGGTGCAATCGAATCGCGCCGACTAAATCGATCCACAATCGATCTGATTGGTTAAATTTCATAGAGAATGTTTTGATTGGCTAATAATTTTGAACTCTTCTGAAGTAGCCAATCAAATCGATTTAAATTCCAACGAGAAACCACACCACAACACGAAATTTCACTCGAAAGCACAATAAGTACTCTTAAATCCCATCGATCGATCGATCCATAAAGAACTATATATACCTCGTTCTGTTGCTGCAGAACGTCCATGGTCACCTTGGCTTCGTTCCACAGCTCCGTCACTTGGTCCAGCTCGTGGGTTTGAGTCGCCAACTACACCAACGACAGACAGCACCAGATAAATATCCTCCTCTTCATTCAAAATTAAAGCTAATAATACAATACTCGTGCAGAATATATATATATGTACAGCATTGAAAGAGCAATTTCGTACGTACGTGATGCGAGAGTTCTTGAACTTTGGATTCCGCGGTGTGCATGCGACGAGTCTACACCATACTATAATATGAGCATTTCAAGTCGATGTACGATGTACCGCCGCGTCGAGTTGCTCCAGAACGAGGTCGTACTTGGCCTGCATCGATTGGGCATTCGCGAGCAACGCCTGGTGCTTTTGCTCGACTAGTGACACGCTCGACTCGTTTGGCGGTGTATGGTGGTCGGCCTCGTGGTGGGAAGTCTGCCCACACATTCATGCGACAGAGTTAAGCCCATATTAATGATATATATATATATATATATATATTATCCGCGTACATGAGCTACGAAGGACTTCCACTTGGCCACGTGGTCAGCGTACACGCGTTGCAAATCTTGGTACTTGGCCTGCAGCGTTCGCATCTACATAATATATTTTTTTGTTGGTAATATATAATATATATATATATATAATATATATGCGCACTTCTCGACTGTGTTGCTGCAACGCCAGCCCATGCCCTTCGTTCGACTTGGCCACCTTGTCGCGTAACTCTTGGATGGTCTTCCTACTCTCACAACACCCAACATAATGCAATGCTAGTATAGATTAATATTATATTTAAGATATATATATATATAT